TGTGTGTGTGTGTGTGTGTGTGTGTGTGTGTGATCGGCCTCTGTGGAATCAGTTGAATCAATTAATTCATTTTTGTTCATGTTAGTAAGATAATTGTGTTACTTCCCACTTCCTCTGGAGTTTAAGGGAATGTAACAACAGCTTCTGTCAGCAAATACATTTTCCACATTGCATCAAAAAAACAAATAAATAAGAAAATAATGGATTCGTGTTTCTTCTTTCAACTGATTGTTCTACAGTTCGATAGACGTTCCTCATTGCTTCCTTTCTTTCTATCACTTCTGATAATCTTCACCATCGAAGATGATCTGAAGAGTCAAACGCTCGCCGGTTGAGTTGCAGTAAATTGGCTCTGACAGGATTGACGACACATGTTTGTTTATTATTCTGGTCTGAGAATCTAAAATACAATTTTAAGTTCTGACTTGATTTGAAACTTTTCAAATGAAATAATTTTTCTTGACTCTTGTGCTGATTTATCTTGTGTGATCTGATTTATTCTGTATCTGTATCATAAATACCAGGAGGCTGTGAACCAGAGGGTTGTCCACTGACCAGTAGGTTGCTGGTTTGATCCCTGGCTCCTCCGGTCTGCATACTGAACCTCAAATTGCTCCTGATGGCTGTACGACAGTGTGTAAATGGTGTAAGATGGAAAATGCTGCATATGTAAGCACTTTATGAACGTGTGTTAGTGGGTGAATGTGACTTGTCCTGTAAAAATGGTTGAATCGTAAAAATTGAACTTATGATTGGACAACAAAACAGAACATGTGATATGTGATGCTCTGTATAATAAGCTGCACCAAACACCAAATGGGAACATCCAACCTGCACAAACTCTCCACAAGGTGGTGCTCAATACACAAAGAATACAGTAACAGAAGGAGGACTAACAAGTCTCCAGTCACAGGAAGACAAAATCTCAGTTAAATCACAGATAAACAGCAACAGAAAGATCTGACAACACATGACAAGGAATTTCTTTCTTCCACTGAGAGAATCCGTCACCGATCCCAATGTGTGGTTTCAATTTTCACAGCGGATATTTTGACATGTCCCCATAAGACAAACACAAATGTCAATAATGAAGTTAAAAGCGATCAGTCTCAGGCTGTGGACCGGAGCCGGTGCTGTTCCTACATGACATCACCTGTTTCTGCACGTCACAGTCGCTGTGTGCGTTTGAACGAGGACACTAAGTGAACGCACACAGCTCTGTTTACAATGTGCGGTGAGGCTGGTGCAATACCTGGCCATGCCCTCTGATTAACGTGTGCAAATATGTCAGATGTGATGAAATCATTAGTCCACCCGTCCATTATCTGCGCTGCCAATCCTTTGAGGGTCGTGGAGGCGCTGGAGCCAATCACAGCTGACATCGGGCCAGAGAGGTCGCCGGTGTGTCGCAGGGCCGACGTTCAAACAAGCGTTCACTTTCACACCAGCAGGTATTTTAGAACCGCCACTGAGGGAGGAGAAACACTTCTAACAGCATGTATGAGCGAGAAACAAGTTCTTCTGATTGTGCTTGATCAAAAGACGTAAACCTCACCTGAGCCACGTCGACCACGGATTGTTTTGTTCACTACACACAATGACTGACCTCTGGGGGGCGCTGTTTAAGATCTTAAAATGTATTGAATATAAACCATAGACTTTATATGATGATATAAAGGTGACAATCGCCACCTGGTGGCTGGGTGCAGTACGGGTCATAAATCCTAGTTCTCCATGTTAGCAGATGGGACTCCCAAACATAGTTTCTGTTATTTTTCTTTGTTCAGGTGTTCATATTTACGATACATTTAGTTTTACATATTACTTGATTATTGATGATGAGTTTATGCCGAGTCATTTTGGGAACCGAACCCATCGGAGTTTGACAACATGTCTGTGAAACACATTGTAGTAAAATCCTGTCACTTGTTCTGCTTTTTCATGATTTAACTGGGTTTCATAATTACATGTTGTTGTTTTTTATCGAAGAACCAAATGCAGCATTATTGCAGATGATTATATATTAGATTATACACCAGGAGAATTTCATGTCCATCCAAGGTTTGGAATTGCTTGAATCTGAACATATGCAAAAAATCCAGAATCCAGGACTGCAAAAGTACCTCCACCTATTTTGTCATTATTTTTGTATTTTGACAGATGGAAAAGCTATAGAATGAAACTCAAATGCATTTTTAAATATGAAGGGAAGAACTAGCCTATCCCAACGTGTGCTGCTGAAAACACATGACGAGCAGACTGAGTAATCGCAGCTAAATACGGTGACTTCAGCTGCTGGTATGAGAATTATAGCGGCAGAGGGAGGGCGGCAACTGGAGAATCCATGGATCACAGAGTTTTCATGTAAGTTCCTCCAACCGCACCAGCACAATAAATCCTCAGCTTAGTTCCTTTGTGATGGCTGTTTGTGTTTAGTACAGTCTGTGTGTCAGAGAGAGACGCAGCTCAAACAGGGAGACGGTGGCAGACGCTGAACCTGCTGTTGTTGTAATTCAAACAAATCCTCTCTGCTAAATCACGTCAAAACTAGTTCACAACTTTTATTCTGGTGGAAAGATACGAAGGGTACGACAATTACAGATTCATTGCAGTTGGGAAACAAAATCAAAATTTCACTATAACAATAACTTAATTAATAATACACAAAAAGCAACAACACATTTTATTCAGGGAGGTTTGAGGTAGCCGAGAAATCTGAGCACTGATGAAAGTTTGTAAATAAAGATATATGACATGTCACTGCTCTGAAGGCATATCATCTTAATAGCCCCCTGGTGGTTGGCCGCAATATAGGCCATGAACCCCCACCTCCTCCATGTTAGATGTTGGGACATGGATAAACTAATGAGTCTTAGATCACGTTGCCTGAAAAAAGTGGAAAACATTGGGCTTGGATCCGGTTCGGACACAGACAATAGAATGCCCGTTGGTTTTAGGCCGGGCTAGTTTAGTTTTAGGTTTTTGTCTCAGGCCTGGACGGGTTCAGATAGAAAATTGTGGGCCAAACCGCAGCAGCAGAAAAACAGCCACCCGATGAAAAAGGTAAAAAAGAAAAAGGTCCCATGTTGGTTTAAGCTGTGCCGTAATCAAACTCCCTCACTGAGTTGTTGAATAGTGTTGAGTGTTCTCACCCTGAGAGGCTGCTCATTTCTTCAACAGGTTTGGAAGCAGCGGTTTGGGACACGCTGACATCATTTCCCTTTCGTGTTTTACAAGAGGTGACATCTATGTTGAAACGCAGCTATGAAAATATGGAGGTGAACAAAAAAAAAAAACCACTGGCACATGCACATCATGGTGAATATGAAGTCAGCACCAAGCGAATGTGCATCTGGATTCGTCACTGGTAGTTTGGCACATGCACGTCATGTTTGCAGAAATGTCCGGCTTCTCTGCGCCCTGCGCCACAAACAGACCCTCACCACCCTGAAGAGGCTGCATTTTAAAAAGTTTGCTCACGCAAAGAAGCAGTGAACGAAACCCTGTGGAGTTTCCAATCACTGTTATAAAAATATATATACCTCAAAGTGAAAAATGGATTACCTGGTCATAAAGGCAATGTGAAAGATACCAAACATTGGCAAAATTAATACCGTAGAAAAATAACTCCTTACACCGGGTTTGAAACAGGAAGTGTTGCAAATATTAATGTGTGTGACAAACGATAACGGTTGGCTTCAAATACTGGTTCCATTATGGATTCCAGGTCAGACTGGTAGTGGGAGAGAGGAATCCCGAGTTGTTATTCATTGTTCTCGCCTTTTAATTGTGTCTCCGCTTTAACTTCAAATGACGTATTAAAGCCATCACGATTATTTTTATTGTTTGCTGTGTAACATTAATAAAACCTCATTTGTGGGCTCCTCTTCTCATCGGGGGACAGAAACGTCTTCTTCTAATGTGTTGTAAAAAGTCGTTTTTTTTAAGAGGCTTTTCTCAGGACAGAAAACTTTCAAGAATCGACCTCAGTTATTGTCTGAGATTTCCACAGTGGCCCACAGAAATTCCTGTGGATTATCGTCCACATGTAAAGTTAATATAAAAGCTTTCTTTGGTGAAATGAGGGGCAGATTTTTGGAGGTTTTGACTCTCACAC